TCTCTGTATTTTTTTTTCAAGATTTTTAAATTTATTTATTCATGAGAGACACACACACACACACAGAGGCAGAGACCCAGGCAGAGGGAGAAGCAGGCTCCTTGCAGGGAGCCCGACGTGGGACTCGATCCCGGGACCCCAGGATCCACCCTAGGCCAAAGGCAGGTGCTCAGCCACTGAGACACCCAGGGATCCCCCAATTCTCTGTATTTAAGACTGTTTTTTGTTACTGTTGTTTTCTATATATATATAAATTTATTTTGTATTGGTGTTCAATTTGCTAACATATAGAACAACACCCAGTGCTCATCCCATCAAGTGCCCCCCTCAGTGCCCGTCACCCAGTCACCCCCACCCCCCGCCCTACCCACCTCCCCTTCCACCCTCCTAGTTCGTTTCCCAGAGTTAGGAGTCTCTCATGTTCTGTCTCCCTTTCTTATATTTCCCACTCATATTCTCTCCTTTCCCCTTTATTCCCTTTCACTATTTTTTATATTCCCCAAATGAATGAGACCATATAATGTTTGTCCTTCTCCAATTGACTTATTTCACTCAGCATCTGGTTTTGTTTCTTAAATTCCACATGAGTGAAATCATATGGTATTTCTTTTTCTATGACTGAACTTATTTCATTTAGGATTATAGGCACTACGTCCATCCAAGTTGTTACAAAGGTCAAGATCTCAATCTTTTTCATGGCTGGATAACACTCCATTGTGTATACATACCACATGTCTTTTATCCATTCATCTACTGATGGACCCTTGGGTTGCTTCTATATACTGGCTATTGTAAATAATGCTAGAGTAAACATAGGGATGCATGTGTCTTTTCAAATTAGTGTTTTTGTTTTCTTTCTTTGGGTAAATCCTAGTAGTGGGATTACTGGATTATATGGTAATTCTATTTTTAATTTTTTGAGGAATCTCCATAATGTTATCCATGATGGCTGTACCAGTACATGAGGGTTCCTTTTTCTCCACATCCTCGCCAGCACTTATTTCTTGTCTTTTTGGTATTGGCCATTCTGACAGGTATATGGTGATATCTCATGGTGGTTTTGATTTGCATTTCACCACTGATTGGTGATGTTGAGTATATTTTCATGTGTTTGTTGGCCATGTGTATGTCTTCTTTGGAAAAATGTCTGTTCATGTCTTTTGCCTGTTTTTTAATTGGGTTGTTTTTGTGTCGAGTTGTATAAGTTCTTTATATATTTTGAATATTCATCCCTTATTGTATATATCATTTGCAGATGTCTTTCCCCCGGTTCAGTAGGTTGCCTTGTCATTCTTTCATTGTGCAAAAGCTTTTTATTTTGGTATAGTCCCACTGATTTATTTCTGCTTTCGTTTCCCTTGCCTTAGGAGACATATCTAGAAACCTATCTCTACTGTCAGTGTCAGAATTACTGCCTACCGGGAGCTGAGGTTCCAGACTCAACCCTAACCCTGAGCAGGATGATAGCTGTCAGCAGATGTTTTAACCTGTGAGGACTTTAGCTCTTCAGTCTATAGAATGTGACACTTTGATTTCAAAAGTTCCTTGTAGCTCTAAAATTCTATGATTCTCTGAAAATGTGTTTGCAAATGTTTAATGCTCATTGCAGAGGGTAATGTTTCTTATAACATATCCAAAGTGTCTACCTATTGTTGAGTAGCAAAGGAAGTTAAAAAGTTTAAATTTAGGAAAAAATTAATGATCTGGGAGCAGGAATTCTAGTGAGCAGGAATAGTAGTACCTGACCTGTAGCTGGTGGCAAAACACTCACTTTCATCCGGAGGGTAGGGTCGTAAGCCTCATTAAAGCTGCTTGCTGGGGAGAAAAAAAACAAAAAGCTCCTTGTTCACCATTTGCCAGAGGAATTCTAACATAATCCATTTATCAGTTACAGTTACTTATAAGATGGAGTGCAAATGTGTGTTTATAAGAGTTTTGCGTGGTATGTGCACATAAAATGGTACCATTTTTAGAAGTAGCAATTCCTTTGTCCAACATATATAAAATTTAGTCCTGATGATATACCTCTGTATTTCATCATCTTTGGAGGAGTATATATGTCCTTGCTTCATGATACCATAGTATTACTGGATACTACAGCTGGTAAGGCTATGTTCGTGTTTGGTATCACGTGGATAGAGTTATACTGTATTAAATGGTAGTGTTGATAGGCACTTCTGCAATAACATGCCTGCCTGTCTGTCTGTGACATTCTGATGTATATCTTTAGTTGAGCGAAAGGACTTTAAAGTTTATTCCTATGGCTTTACTTACTTGAACTTTTAAAATTTCATGAGCTTTATATTAATAGAATTGTTTGTAAAATACATGCTTTCACTGAATTTTTTGTCTCAATATAATTTGCCATGTGAATATGTTTTTAAGATTTAATGCCTTTATATATATTTCTACTCATATATCAATTTTGTAAATTTACTATTTGGGGATTCTTTCAGTATGATTTGTCAGATAAAAATTAAGTCAGCTTCCAAGTTTATTTCCATCTAACATTCTGTAATGTGTTAATACTGCTATGTTTTACTGCATTCCAATTTATTAAATTACTTTAAAATTATTTAAAAACTTACTGCCCCTGTTTTCTTCTATGAGTTTTATGCTTTCAGGTATCATATTTAGGTCTTTGATTAATTTTGAGCTTATTTTTAAGAAAGTAGTCCAATTTCTTTATTTTGCATGTGGCTGTCCAGCTTTCCCAGAGCCTGTCTTTTCCCCATTGTATATTCTTGCCTCCTTCCTTGTAGATTAACTGACCATATAAGTGTGAGTTCATTTCTGGGGTCTCTGTTCTTTTCCATTAATCTGTTTATTTTTGTGCCAGTACCATACTGTTTTGATTACTAGAGCTTTGTAGTATTATCTTCAAATCTGGGAATGTAATACCTCACACTTTATTCTTTCTCAAGATGTGGCTTTGGCTATTTGAGGTCTTTTGTGGGTCCCTATGAATTTTAGTATTATTCTAGTTCTGTGGAAAATGCTGTTGGTATTTTGATAGGGATTGCATTAAATCTGTAGATTGCTTTGGGTGGTATGGACATTTTAACAATATTTGTTCCTCTTATCAATTAGCATGCAATATCTTTCCACTTGTTTATGTCATCTTCAATTTCTTTCATCAGTATTATATAGTTTTCAGAGTACAGGTCTTTCACCTCCTTGGTTTAGTTTATTCCTAGGTATCATCATTTTTGGTGCAATTGTAAATGGGATGATTTTCTTATTAGGTGTTTTTGGTTTTTTTTTAAGATTTTGTTTATTTGTGAGAGACACAGAGAGAGACAGAGACACAGGCAGAGGGAGAAGCAGGCTCCATGCAGGGAGCCCGAGGCAGGACTCGATCCCAGACCTCCAGGATCACGCCCTGAGCCAAAGGCAGATGCTCAACCGCTGAGCCACCCAGGCATCCCAAGGTGGCCTTTTTAATGAAATTAATTGGTAGCTAACTGAGGAGGTATAGCAAAGACAGAGTTTGTGTTTTGAGAATTCTAGATTGCATATAAAGTGACAAACCAAGAAAGAGGACACAGACAATTAGCCATAATGGTAGGTCTGATGGACATGACTGTGGGCTTATACACTACAGCCCTTTTGAAAGGGGAATCATAGTTTCATTGACTTTGTAGACTAGAAAAGCTAGAAGGTGGCTATATCCCTCCCTTAAGCACACCTTTCAGCATCGTAAATGAAGTTCTTCTAAATGTTCACCTGTGATAATGTGGGCATTGCTCTGGCTAGAGAAAACCAGTGGTTTTGTCAGCAAAATGGACCCCTTGTCTACTTGCCTGTGTAAAGGAGGGGCCTCCTGGCACAGCATGCAGAGTGTCGTACATTTGCCATCCTCCCACGGCCTGCAACCAGAAGGGCGAGAACATGCAGGGGGATTGCTACAGGAGCATTAAATGAAATCATGTGAATATAGCACCGAGGGCAGAAGGGCGAGTTCTTTTGAAGATGAATTAGATGCGTAAAAGCTTTCATTGCTTTTCTCCCTTTCTCAGCTTTTCTTCAGCATTGTGACTATAGGTAGGACAGTGATCTTCCCTGACCTCCTGTATGTAGTCATCTACTTAAGTCTTAGCATTTACAAGGTAAGATACTGCCCTAGTCATTCAGTCTGTTCTCTGAATCTGTGTGCCACCCTCGAGGATGCTACAGTGACCCTGGAGTCTTGACGTGGGAGATTCTTTTAACTCAAAAAGTGAAATTTATAGCTTTGAGACAGTCACTCAACAACAAGCCTGAAAACTCTATATTGCAATCATAAAGAAAAGGCGAGCATCAGATTTACGGAGCATATAATGAGACCTCTTGTAGCTTCTGTCGCTTACAGCCACACACCTGTGTCAGAACACGATAGTAGCATCTTTAAATTCAAAAGGAAGGGGTGCATAGCACTGTAGGCAAGAAGTCAGGCATGTAATTCTTATTTTATTAAATATTTAAATACAGTAGAAAACCACCTCATGGTATCTTGAATTATTTTCTCTCCCTACTTTTAAGGTAAGTAGATTTATTTCTAGATGAAGACCACCGTTTAGTTAAAACATTTCTCCATAGTCACAAAATGGGAAGGAAAGAGCCACTGTATTTCTACTCTACCTTCTTTATATTATAAAGTAAAATGTTCTCTGATATATTAGTTGTTTGTAAGATGTGTATTAATTTTACTTAAGCATAATCACTCTTTGCTTACCTAATTGAGATCATAATTTATGTCAGGCAGCTACAAAATGTAGATTTATTTTATTAATTTATGAGTACATTTATTCCACTGGTGGAATGATCTGTTTTGTTATTACAGTAGATTAGAAAACGATTGGTGCTTCGACAGGATCACGCATAATCTTACCTTTATGAAACTGTCATGTGAAAGTACTGTTTAAGGAGCAAATTTTAGTAAGATTTATATAAAAAGTCAGTTTGTTATATAAAGGAACTCTTGAGCTAAAACTAGTAAAAACATTTTTTTTCTCTCGTAGGTAATTAATAAAATGTCTCCAACATCCCTAAAGATCACAGTAAGGCAACTCATGGAGGGGTCTTCAAAGACCTTGCAGGAAGTATTAACTATGGAATATCGGTTGAGTCAAGCTTGTGTGGTAAGAATTTTAAAAATATATGCTTATTTTCTATATATGAAAGCAACTGATGTTCATTGGAGAGCTTGTAAAATACAGAAAACTAGAAACAAAAATCTTAAAATTACCTGTAAATCTACTCTGTAGAAACACAACAGTCCAGTTAGCTTAAGGTATGTGGAACTATTACTCTCACATTGTTCTTAAGTCCTTATGAGACAGCAGTTACATTTGCATGTAAGTGTATGAAATCCTCTAATCTCAGGTAGAATTAAAAATAGAAAAAAAACATTTTTCAGGCACAGTCTCTGACCTTGGGGCAAGAAGTAAAAACTCTGTAAATCTGAATTCCCTTATTGGTAAAATGAGGAGTATACGTATATATAAAATGTATGAATGGGTTTTGTTAGTTTGTTACATGTTTTAAATAATAGATTAGCATTGTAAATTAGTCACTTTAATATTTTTTTAGAAGATTTTATTTATTTATTTATGAGAGACACAGAGACAGAGAGAGAGGCAGAGACACAGGCAGAGGGAGAATTAGGCTCCCTGCAGGGAGCCTGACGCGGAACTCGATCCCGGTACTCCCAGATCAAACCCTGGGCTGAAGGCAGCACTAAACCACTGAGCCACCCGGGCTGCCCCTTCTTTAATCTTAAAGTCTGTCCTAGTAGAATGTAAGTAGCAGCTGAGGTCTCAAGAGAAAGGCCCTTTATATGTATCTTCTCCATTAAATTTTACACTATTTCTGGAGTAATAGGCACTATTCTTGTCTCCACTTGACAGATGTGGGAACTGGCATAGGGAAATAATCTGCCTAAGGTAGTATTATAGCTATTAAGTGGCAGACACTTGGTGGGTGAACCCAGGTGGTCTCACTTAAGCCCACATTGGGCTCCCTGCAGGGAGCCTGCTTCTCCCTCTGCCTCTGTCTCTGCCTCTCTCTCTCTCTGTGGGTCTCTCATGAATAAATAAAATCTTTAAAAAAAAAGACAAATAAAACTTTGTAGATGGAGCTTTGTTTCCTTAATAAGAATGGTTACATGTGGTAGACACTGTTAGAGGCACAAAGAATGTATAGGTAAACAGAATAGACCGAATCCCTGCCCTCATGGAACTTACTTTATAGCAGGGGAGATAGATTGTAAACAGATAAAATTGTAAAATATACAGCATATGAGTACTAAGGAGAAAAACTAAAGTGGGAAGGAGGACATGGCATGGAGGCGAGGGGTTTGGACTTATGGGTAGACTGAGCGGAAAGGACCTGACTGAGAAGATGCGGTTTGAGTGAAAACCTGAGGGAAATGAGGGAGTGAGCTGTGCAGGTATCTGGGGAAGAGCCTCCAGGCGGAGGCAGGAGCAAAGCTCTGAGGCTGGAGTGTGCCTGCCTGTCCCGGGAGGGGCCAGAGGGGGGTTGGTGAGTGAGAGAGTTAACAGGGTAGAGAAGGGCTGTGCAGAGCACACACAGCCTGGGAGGTTTCTGTAAAACCTTGGCTTTTGTTCTGAGTAAAATGGGAAGCCACTGGATGTTTTTGAGTAGAAGAGTGACATGACCTTATATTTTAATGGAATTGGTGAGTCAGGTGCTGATGTGTCAAATATAGAATGGATAAGATCATATAGAAGGAAAATGAGGGAGCCAGACCTGAGCCCCAAGTAGGGTAGGGGAGAAAAAGCAGTGGTGGGAGAGAGAAAGGACTGAAGTAGGAGAACCAGGAGGGTGGGAGGGGGTCATGAAAGCAAGAGATGAGAGTCTCAAGGAGGAGGGAGTACTGCCAAAGTATCCAGTGGGGGAGGATGAAGGCGTCTTTAGCATGTGGCAAAACTGAAACCACGGGTGATTTGGGCAAGCCATTGCAGAGCAGTGCTGGGCCAGAGGTAGGGCGTAGTATGTTGGAGAGTCAGTGAGTGAGTGGGATACGGAGAAGTGTAGGCTGTATGTACACAACTCTCTTCTGGAAACAAATAGGGTGGAAGCTGGGACTGCGGAATCAAGTGCGATTCCTTGTTATTTTGTAAGGTGGAAGGCACTAGAACATGTTTATAAATGATTGGGGATGACTCAATAGAGAAAAGGCTATGTTGACCCACCACATGACATACTGTGTGTTGCACACAGCACTGGGATGCTGGGAAGATGATCCTGTGATGGATATATTGATATTGCCGTTTCGTATGAGGAAATGCGGCATCGGGGGTTTGCGAGCCCAAGGTCACGTAGTTACTGTGTAATAGAGGCAGTGGGTGACCCACACATTTGAACTGCAGTCAGTCACTGAATTAAGCGGCCTACATGGCTGACGCCGGGCGGAAAGAGAGAGATAGCCCCCCTACTCAAGCACCGTTCTCGCGAAGGGGAGATATGAGTGGGAATGTGGTGGTCCCTCCCTCCGTAATCAGGAAAGGGAAGGCATGGAACTGAGGGGTGCAGCTGGGCCACAGGTAGTTTAGGGGTGGGAAGAAGAGGCTGTTCATGTCTTGCCACTTCTCTTTTTGTAACGAAATAGGAGGTTAAGTCATTAGCTGAGAAATAAAGAGTAAAATTTGCTAGGGGAAGAGACTGAGAAGGCAGAAGACGGTTAAAATCATTATCTTGGGACGTGGAGAAGAGAACATGCATTGTTGCCCATGCCTTGTTTGGACAAGGCAACAATACATTGTTGAACATGCCTGTTTGAGATTCGTGGTCCTGGATTTTAAATGAAGCCAATCACAGTTGTATGATTTTTCTGCAGCAGGATTTAGCTCCTCAAAGGCAGGCAGAGGTAAGCGGTAGGGGCAGCTGGTGCTGGGAGTTTCCAGGACAGACTCAAGGGGAGAGAAAGCCTTGAAGGAAATGAGGGCATTTCCAAGGGCAAGTGGCCACAATAAAGTGAGTGGTGACAGAGTTGTAGGATCGGGGCACAGCAGTGCAGGTACTCAGCAGATGAGAACCCAAGGCAGTGACCAGAGGCTGTGTCACACAGGGGGCCCCACCTCTGAGTGTTTGTTTCCAGAGTGGGAGGCTAAGGTGGGGGGAGGACACAGATCATCACCAGGAATAAGGGTGCCTGGGAATTCATCATTTAATCTCGATTTTCTTTCAGGGAGGCCATGACTTTCATGAAGGTGTTAGGGCAGGTAAGTGATGGTTCTTTTCTTCCTGGCTATTGTGGAACTAGGATTTGTGAGCATATCCTGTTAATCAAAGATGATAGTTGTTTTATTAGTGAAAACTAGGCTTTCATAGAGATTGCAAAGTCGTTGCTTGTTTTATATGACCAACGGGCACATAAGGGAAGATCGGTCTTTGAAACTAGTATTGTTTGGAAAATTCATATAACCTGTGTCATTGCTCCCTAATTTATATGTAAGAGGTAATCCTGCTTCTCCAGTCCTGTGGACTGTCTCTGCCGAGTAGAGCTGGGCTTGAGAACTCCTGCTGCTGCTGGAGCCTTGAAAGGTGCATTTATTGCCTTGCAAGGAGCCCTCAAGCCCCTGCCCATCCTGCAAAGTCCCAGAAGTGTTGAACCCTACCTTACTCACCTCTTTGCCTGCGCCTGAGCTGTTCAACCCTGACATTGAGAAAAACCATATGGCATAATTAGTAACGCTCTGGCAACATCTTTATTAATTTGTTTTCATCATCTCTGAAGTCAGCATATTTAGAACAAGCAAGTGAAATGGCTTATTTTTTGTTTTAAGCAAATTTGCCAAACAGTTCATGTGTAAGCCCATATCCCGACAAATAGCTGTTATTTATATTGTATAAGATGAGGTTTTCCCTTTGCATGTGTTTCCTTTTGCATATACTTTATCTGAATAAAAGATTGTGTTCTCTGAGCTATAAGCTTTGATCAACACTGCACTGTCGTAGAACTCTCTTAACTTACGGCATGAGAAATACCAGAAATAAGCAGGGGTTCAGATCCTTTTAGAGGACATGAGTTGAATCAGAGGAGATGGCTCTATGTTTATAGAAACAAGTAAGATATGCATTTTTCCCACTGATCCCCTGCAGATTCTCGCTGCATGTGGATCAGAGCCTAGACCTGTGTGCTACTTGGATTTTAATGTATTTGTTAGTTGTTATAGCAGCCCTCTTAAACTTAAAAAAATAAAGGTGTTATTTTCATATATACTGTCAATTATTTTAAGGTAACAGTTGGAACCAGGCAGCATCAAAGTTCTGATTCGTAATGCAGGAGCTTATCATGTTACTTTTTAATGAAGAGAAAAGTATACTGCCTCATTGTTTAGGGAGGTTATGACCTCCCTATTTTGCAAGAAGTATCTATTCTGGGTAAAAGTCTTTGGTGTTCTTGCTTAATAACCAAATGTTTGCCGCGGTTCGCTAATTATAAAATATGTCAGCAAATACGATAAAATAAACTAGTAAATTAGAGGAATGATTGTAAAAAATTCTTATTCTTAACAGCCAGAATAAGCCACTTCCTGGTTATAAAAAAACTAAAAACGATTATTTCAGCAGAGCTGGAGAGTTACCAAATGCAATTTGAGTGGGTGCCTTGTGAGACTTGAAAAAACCTGAGCTGTCTACATGGCAGGAACTTGTTATATCTATGCTCAGTAGAAAATGATGTCACTTTGAAAAGAACACACAGATTTTATTAATACTCTTTCCTTTTGCCCTTTAGCAGACTATCAAGGAGGTAGGGAAAAATGATAGCATTGGCCAAAGGGCTTAAAACAGAAGAGATTTTTGAAAGAAGGTTCCAGAATTGTTTTTATTTATGTTGTTCAGGGAATAGAAAACTGTCAGTGTGGCAGGGAACAGAACATTAGTGCTCTCCCTCATCTGATAGTAGCCAGCACCCTGCAGCAGGCATGGACTTGGGCCATTGATGGCACAATCCCTTAAGGCACCTGGCTCTTGGTTTTGGCTCAGGTCAGATCTCAGGGCCATGAGCTCAAGCCCCGCATCGGGCCCCACCCTCAGCAGGGAGTCTCCTTGAGATTCTCTCTCCCTCTCCCTTGACTTCTCCTCACTCACTCACTCGCTCCCTCAAACAAATAAATCTTAAACACACACACACACACACACACACACACACACACACAAAGCTCTCCAGTATCCACAGGAATTCTGCACATCTTAAGCGTGGTTACAATTCCCTACCATGACTTTACTAAGTGTAGCCCCCTTCTCTGTCTTTTTTTAAAAAAAAAAAAGTTTTTCGAGGTCATCGTAGAGTAACATACAGTCGTAAGCAGGGACACAGAGCGATCCTGTGTACCCTTCATCAGATGTTCCCCAAAGGCAGCCTTTATGTAGCAGGAGCGACGTCACAAGCAGGAGAGCGACGCTCCCGTTCCTTGCTAAGGGAGAGCTTTGCCAGTTGCCTCATCCTCATGATCTGCTGGGGATGCTCAGTGGCCACATTACATGATGACTACCCTGAAATCAGAGAAGTCGTTTCTTCTTATAACCTGAATGTGCTCTGCTGTTTTAATTCAGGGCTGTGTGAGCTAGAGGATTCAGCAGAACAGCAGTCTCCACATTTAATTATGCATAACAGCATCCTCTTCCCTCTAAGTAATTTTCCTCTCAGCTCCATGTGGAGGAGGTTAGAAGGCAGATCTGGGCCCTCCGCCCTCCCCTACCTTCCCTAATCCATACCAACTCTGGTTTTAGCTGTTTTAGAACAGGAAGATTTCATTTACAATTTTGTTTGAAGAAGGCTGAGGTTTAAGCCCCATTAGTTCAGAGGCTGCGTTCAAGCTGCAGACTTAGCAGGTTGGGAAAGAACCACGTGGGTCATTATCAGTTCATTGCTATCCGTCCAAATCCTAAGGGGCCTTAATTTAAAGAAAAAAAAAGGAAACATGCAAAAATTTAAACTTTGCAGGAAAAAAAGGTGCTACAGAAGATAGGCCATGTGTAAGGTACTTTCTGTCAATTCAGTGATTAAAATCTGGTAATACCTGGAAGAAATGTACTAACATTTCTATGTCTTCACTTAACAGTTTTAATAGATAAAGACCAGAGTCCAAAGTGGAAACCAGCGGATCTAAAAGAAGTTACTGATGAAGACTTGAATAATTACTTTAAACCTCTGGGAAGTAATGATTTGAAATTTTAAGGTGACTAGATTATCAAGGGATCGTTTTGGAGCAAGTGTTGGCAAAGGATAGTATATGGGCCAAATCCGGCCTGCTGCCTGTTGTTTATTTTCCCACAAGCTAGGAATGGTTTCTGCATTTTTAAATGGTTGAGGGAAAAAAAACCTCAAAGACTAGTATGACATGATGTGAAAATTACATGAAATTTGAATATGGGTGTTTATAAATAAAGTTTAATGGAACATAGACTCCTCTGTTTACATCTATGGCTGCTTTGAGTAGTTGCAACAGCAATTGTATGGCCTGCAAAGCCTAAAATATTTACTATCTGATCCTTTTTAGAAAATGTTTGCCAACCCATTTTCCAAAATGGGAAAAAAAATTGAAGGTCTTTAAGAGACTATTGAGTTGAAATATCTAATTGAAATGAGAATCTTGTGTTTTGGCTTTGGGTAGTAGTTTGTATGTTGATTAAATAAATTTATGTATAGATTATTAAAAAATAACCCTGAAAGTTTTTGGCTGTCGTGTTAATGCTTCAGAGAATTTTCTGCATGTATAAATCTGGGTTTTTAAAAAATATTTATTTTATTTATTCATGAGAGACACCGAGAGAGAGGCAGAGACACAGGCAGAGGGAGAAGCAGGCTCCATGCAGGGAGCCAGATGTGGGACTCGATCCCGGGACCCCGGGGTCACATCCTGGGCCAAAGGCAGGTGCTAAACTGCTGAGCCACCCAGGCATCCCTATAAGTCTGTTTTAAAGTAATTATAAGTTACTATAAAAAATGTTCCTTTTATAACATTAGAAATCTCAGGCAAAGCGAAAAGAGTTTTATGAGGTGGTCTCTCTAGTACTATTGACTCAAGCTTTGGTCTTCCCCAAAGTTAACCAGAATCCCTTCCAATGGTGAAAGTGATGGTTGTTTTGTAGGATTCGTTAATCTTAAAGAATGAGGAATTAGTTTCCTAGTTCCTGCTTTCTGCAATTTACATTAAACTTGTGTGTGATAAGTAATTTGCCATTACATAGTTTAAATCAGGAGAAAAAAATTGAAAACAAGGACTTTTGTTCAAAATAGAAATACCTTCAATAATTGGTGTTGACAACATAAGTTTTTCTTAAGGTACACAAGGAACTTTAGGTTTAGGTTTAGGTGTTCCAGAGTTGGGACATTAAAGTCTAGGTAAGAATAGTCTTAATGGTTGGCTTATAATTTGTTTTATGACTTATTCCAGTTTTCCCTTCATTCCCAACCACTCAGAAACTGGGAATTTTGAACTTTTAAGAACAAAGCGGCAGGACTGAAAAAGACGTCAAAAATTATATTCTGAACCCTTCTTTTAGATGAGCAAATTGCAATCTAGGAGTTGCTTTGAATTTTCTAAATATTTAATAAGAAGCATTTTTCCCCAAAAATGCCAAGAAAAAATTTAGAACAAAGATGGCATGATAATGGACATGTTTACGTTCAGATTCTTAAGGCTCTTAAATTGAACCTGAATGATCTAAGAAATTGTATCAGTGGGTTTTTATTAACTTTGTATTCATTAGAAATGCAGAAAATGTTCTTTATGTCAAAAAATTTGATAGTACTCAATATCGAAAGGCATTTACATCACTGAGGGGGGTACTCGATGGGATGAGCACTGGGTGATATGCTATATGTTGGCAAATTGAACTCCAATAAAAAAATAAAAAATAAAATAAAAAGAAAGGCGTTAACATGCTTTAGTAAGAACTCACAGCTAGTTAATTGCAACTAGACTTTTATTGAATGATTAGAAAAAAATGTTTTCACAAAAATATACCATTTCATAGCGAAGTCTTACAGGGAAGAGAATTAGCTAACAAAACTTGAGTTCTGCAAATTAAGATAGGGAGTACATCTGAGCCCGTGGCCACTGCTCCAGGGAAGACACGTCCTATTTGGTCACACAAATACAGGATGAATCACACATTATGATTATGCAAACAATATACTTGTTGGAACTTTGTTTTTAAATTACTGTTCCTTGACATTATCACATGTCTCTAACTTTTTTCTAAAACTATATAATCCAAAAGTATAGCTCCCTCTTCTCATAAAATGCCAATGATATTAAATAGGATATAGGAGTGTCACGCTACCTCCTTCATTCATTGTGTCTGTTTTTAATACTAATAAGGCAATTTGACACAAATTATTCCTTTGGAACCAAGATAATCATCTCCTTCAAAATTGTGCTCGGAGTGCTAACGACCATAGGTAGTTTGCAAAGAACAGGTAAGGCAACTGAAAATTGGGAACTCTGGGACCAGAAGCTTGTAATTGGAAGGTAATAGCCCACAAGAGACCTTTACCTGCGGAAGGGAGCAGTGAAGCACTTTTGTGGGCTTAAGTGAGGAATTGGCGCATCTCCTCCCATTATCTGCTGCGTCTACAGTTGCCATCTGCAAGTTCTTCATCTCACTGGTGGCGGCTCATCGGGCCCTATCCTCGATGTTCTCAAGGGCAAAGATCAATGGTTGGGCAGGAGTCACCGTGGTAAAGAAGGGAACTTGCTACTCCGTCCCTTTCCTCAGTCGAGAGCATCGGAGACTTGTCTTTGCAGTGTCTCCTGATGGAGCCCGACCTGAATGCGAGCTCGTGGGCCTCTTTATCCTGGTTTCTTTTCCCTTACAATTTGGCCACTACTCTTATTTTCATCAGTCTATGTGATCTAAGTTGGGACAAATGTTTCCCTTTCCAGTAGCTAATTACTCTTTTGGTCTTCTGCTTTATTATGTTCCTTCCTTCTCAGTTCGATCTTCCATTCTTTTACTGTTCGTGAAAGTTCAAAATGAAGTAAATCCAATACTTAGATGGGAAGGCATGAAGGAAACTCTCCTATCAGAGATGTTCTCATCGGTCGTGTCGTCAAGGTCAAACTAGATCTTGATAATTATCACATGCAGCACAAATCTGTTTACCTAGTTCCTTTTCCTGCCTGCCTCCAACTTGGTTTACCTACTACCTCCCGATTATGCAAGCCTTGTGGTTCCTCACCCATGTTTGACATAGAACAGTGTGTATTTCCGAGATAAGTCTATGCTCTGTTAAAATGACTCAGAAGCAAGGGGTTGATGCTTGGTGACAAAACCATACTGTCACGGTGTCAGATTAGAATTCTAGCTGGACATGGATTTGGCATCCCTGTTACACCCCCAGGAATTAGGGGCCCAGGGACAGGAGGAACCTGAGGTTAAAATATTGAGCTGTAACAAAACTCAACAGTCTACGTGCCTGTGTATGTAGTTACCGTGGCTATTGCTTCGTGTTCTCGCCATGACGTTATGTTATATATTTGATTATATCTCTTAAATAGTAAATGACTTTGCAGCAAAAGTGGCCTGATGGGAGATATAAAATGAATGAGAAATGGCAACATGTAGGCTTTTGTCTGAGTCATTAGTATACTCAAAAACCTAAATTTTTTCTTCATGAGCTGGAAATACGGTTTACGACTTTCAGAAAACGTTTTGTTTCCATAGCCTTAGGACTTCAGATCTTTATATAATAAACGGGGGATGGTGGTGGTGGTGGTTTTTCTACTTTGTAAGTTTCTAGATTGCAAGGACAACAGGATAGTCCCGATCTTGGGACTAAGTGAAATGAAAGTTGAATGACCAGGTGTCCAAAGGCAACTGAAAGATGGCACATGAGTCATTTCAAAGAACTTCCTTTGTCCATGCAATTGTGGGTTTCAAAGTATAAGTATTAAAATTAGAGGTAGCATTTCTGCCTGCTTACAAGGCCAAATACGCATGTATCTCATTAAAGAGGTCACAAGTCACCTTCTGCCTTCCTTTAGCTATCAGTGACAAGGGTCTCTTGAATCTTAATAAAAGAATCTAATGCACACATACTTAAATAATTCCCTTTCTAACTAAATTCAATGTGAAGCAAATCTTGATGAAAAGACCATTCTAGAGACCAAGTCCCCATTTTTTCTAAAGGTTATGTTTTCTATCTTCTTCCTCTCTCAAATTTTGTTACCATTGATTTTAAACAGTACTTAATTCTTAAAAAGAAAAAAAAAAGCTTCCCTAAAAAGGTAGGCAACCTTAAGAAAATAGTATATGGCTGTAAATGCCTTACGGGCATTGATACCATAGAAAAACCACATGAGTACTGTCTTTGGAGGAGTGTCTAATCGTCTGCTATATATAATACAACCGTACATCCTTGTGCATAGACTGGTCCCACAGTAATCTGGTGAGGGCCCATTATATCAACCCTCTGCACCTCCGAGGCTGTAAAACTTCATACACATGCAGTACTGAGAACAGGCTCTGCTCTCTACCTCGACTAGGGCTTCTATTATTTTAAAATTTACTGGATTGCTATTTGTAAAAATCCTTGCTTTTTGTTATATCACTGGGCTGCTTAATTCAATACCATAAACATTAATGTCAGGACTTCTGTAAATAGTATCTTGTCCAGATGGGTTATGTATGAAGTCTCAAGTCATCCAGTAACAGCTGGAACCCTAAGGTTCAAGGTGATAGTAATGCTTTTCATCTGCAAAAATATCTTAAGGATAGGTTTCAAGGTAGACTCCTTCTACAGGGGTTGCTTTCTACTGCTTCATCATTTGTGTTAAGTCGGGATCCTTGACACAAATGGTTTGGATAAATGACCCACTACTAATTACTGTACCTTAAGTGCTATTTCCTTGCCAAGGCATCTCAAGAAAAATCCTTCCTATATCTTATTTTTGTGTGTGTGTAAATTAACAAACAGTTATTTTAAAAGGAGTGTCTTTAAAATGACCATTTGATTTCTTTGGTGATGCTACTACTGCCTCAGCAAGAAAGTGATACGCTATACAGCGGATTACTGTGGCGTAGGACCTATGTTTAGCCCTTTAAATGACTAAAATCCAAGACCAAGCAGATAGAAATTGCTATTAACCTAAAAGTGCTTAATATATTTCATTTTAGTTACTCCCATATTCTTGATATTATCATAGACATTTTTTTTACATCCCAATGGAGTTATTTGTATTTATTCGTACCAGTTTTTGCTATTTCACATATTTAAACTAGCACCAGCTTTACCCACAATTCAAGAAAGTTCTCCTCCTTCTCCTACGACGTCAGGGCCCTTCACTCTCAATGTATGGGATGTCATAGTACTTGATGTTCTCGCCTGCCCACTGCTTCAAGGCGTCACTCAAGATCTCCTGGGATAGGCGGTGTGCAAATTCGAAAACCACAATTTTAGGCGCTGGTGGTTCCTTCGCTTCCTTTCTGACGGTAACTGGGGAAGGCATCCTGGGTAGGAATCTCTCTTCAGACATGAAGTTTTCTTCACTTGCATGTCGCTTCTCGCTCTCAAATGTGGTGGGAAATGGGAAAGTTTGCTTTGATTTCATGCAGCCCATGTTATGAAGAGTTTTGCGGGAAGCGAAGCAGAAGCAAAGACTACTTCATCTTTGGCAAAGACTGAGCTCGTCCTTGTGACACTAACCAGTGCTCCTCCTCCACGGGTGCTTCAGAAAACGTCTCTTTCTACTAGTCTTCACCTGTAGTGGTTTTCTGTGAAAAGAAAAGTTTCATTTTGAGGTCACCAAATGCAGACTACTGTATGATACAGTCCTCTTTGCCACTTGGGTCACTTGGAGGCATTGTGAGGTAACAACAGCGTTGTCCTATCGATAGGAAGAAAAGATGACCACTCAGTGACACTGGCCATTTACAAAACAGGAAAATCTTTTTCTCAAGATATTGAACATCTTATAAAACTAAAAACCCAGTTAAACTTTTGGTAGCTTAGATTGATTTATGTTACACCAGAGTTCAGCAAACTTTGGGTCAAATTCTAGCTGCCTGTTTTTGTAAATTAAGTGTGTTAGAACACGGCCATGCTATTTGTTTATGTGTCGTCTATGGCTCCTTTCCTGCTGCAGCGGCAGAGATGAGTGCTTGGACAGAGACCATGTGGCCTGAAATACCTAAAATAATTACTGTCTGGCCCTTTATAGAAAATGTTTGCCAACCTCTGATTTGTTCTGTTGAGGGAAACAAGCTTATAAAACATTTACTCCTGCCTCAACCTCAGGAGCCTCAGTACGTCTTGGACTGTTATTGAAGTCAAGCCTTGTCACCTGGTTAGATGTCTGCAATTCAGCAGAATGACAGCCTTTAGGCAGCACAAGTTAGATGTGGCAAAGCCACCTCTTTTTGCTTCTGAATTAGATGCTCTCTATCAAACTATATGAAAAGCTCAGATTAAAATCAGATTAAAGATTTCCTCTCTTAAATGTTTCACTCTTGTTTGATGTCTGGTCAGCAAGTAGGTTGCCGTGTTCTCTGTGCCCTCGAAGCTTCGCACCTGGGAGCTGTCACTGAATAAACCTCTCTTAAGGTAGGACTTAAGGATAGCTAAATACAAAGCGACTCCATTGGAAGGAGTCTAGCTATAAAAAGCACACAGACAGTATGTAAACTAGTGGGCAGGGATGCCCGGGGGGCTCAGCGGTTGAGCGGCTGCCTTTGACTCAGGGCGTGACCCCGGGGTCTGGGATCAAGTCCCACGTCGGGCTCCTGCAAGGGAGCCTGGTTCTCCCTCTGTCTGTGTCTCTGCCTCTCTCTCTCTCTGTGACTCTCATGAATAAATAAATAAAATCCTAAAAAAAGGGGGGGGGGGACAGTGGCTGCATTCCAATAAAACTTCACAAAAACAGGCTAGCCCCCCCATAGGCCATTCTGGACTAAGTTCCAACAAAGAGTAAAACAAGACCATTTAAGGGAATATGTGACATAATCCAGACTCCTTCAAGGGTATTATCCACAATATCCATCCTAGATGAATGGGGCAAAGCAGGAAAATGTGTCCCGTGTCCAACTTACTAGAAACAGACCCCCAAATGGCCCAGCATTTGACAGTTAACACAATTTAATAGAACTGTAAAACTGCTATTTAAATATGTTCAAGAACAAAGGCAAAATGATCATAAAGAGTGAATAAGTAGAGAATCTCATCAGAGAAATGGAAATTATAAAGCAGAAACTACACTCAAGAACTAAAAGGAAAATATGAGCTAATGGATACCTAATAATGAACTTGAACTTATGAGTATAGATATATCCAATCTGAAAAACAGGACAATGATTTTTAAAATCTGAACATTCTGAGAAACCACCAAAAAGATAAAGTATATCTTAATGAGGAATTAGACATGTTTAACCCAGAAAGCAGCAGGAAAAGAATAATATAGGAAGAAAAAGGGAAATGCGACAATTTGAGAATAGCAAAGTGGCTCACTTAAATACATTTCAAAAATTTGGAAGGAAATGGACTAAAAATTTCAGCTAAAAGGCCGACTAGTTAAAAAGATCCAACCCACACAAACCTAGTCAACAGATCTTTGCCAGAGGAGCGAAGGTGACGCAAATAGCAAAGATAGTCTTTTCAATAGGTGCTGGAACAATGTTATATATATATACACACAGATCTTACACCTTTCACAAAAATTAACTCAAAATGGATCACAGATCTAAGACTCCTAAGAAGATAACATCTAGGAGTTAAATCTAGATAATGTAGATGAACTTGGGTGTGGCAATCACTTTTCAGATAGAACACCAAAGGCCTGAGCCATGAAAGAAATAATTGAGATTTTGGACTTCATCAAGTTAAAAACTTGTGCTTTGTGTAAGGCACTGTTAAGAAAATGAGAAGCTAGGAGACTAAGAAAAATATTCAAAAGCATATCTGACAAAGGTTATGTATAATGTACAAAACTCAACCTGATTTATTTATTTTTTTATAAATTTATTTTTTATTAGTGTTCAATTTGCCAACATATAGAATAAGACCCAGTGCTCATCCCATCAAGTGCCCCCCTCAGTGCCAGTCACCCAGTCACCCCCACCCTTTCTACCACCCCTAGTTCGTTTCCCAGAGTTAGGAGTCTCTCATGTTCTGTCTCCCTTTCTGATATTTCCCACTCATTTTTTCTCCTTTCCCCTTATTCCCTTTCACTATTTTTTATATTCCCCAAATGAATGAGACCATATAATGTTTGTCCTTAAAAATGGGCAACAGATCTGAATAGACATCTCACCAAAGAAACATACAGATGGCAAATAAGCATATGAAAAGATGTTCAAATTCTACCTTAAGGAACTGCAAATTAAAGCAACATTGAGATATCATTATAACTTAGTAAAGTGGTGAAAATCCAAACACTGATGACATCAAATGCTGGCAAGGATGTGGAACAGCAGGAACTCATTCACTGCTGTTGAGAATGCAAAATAGTACAAGCACTTTGGAAGGCAATTTGGCAGTTTCTTATAAAACTAGACCTAATTTTACCATCTGAACCAGTAGTCATACTCCTTGGTATTTACCTTGTTGCATTGAAAAATCGTGTCCACACAAAAACTAACACATGGATGCTTATAGTAGTTTTGTTCATAACTGCCAAAAGTTGGAAGCAACCAAAATGTCCTTCAGGTGAGTAGATAAACAGTGGTATATCCAGATAATGAAATTTTATTAAGTGCTAAAAAGAAATGAGTTATCAAGTCATAGAAAGAAAAGGAGGAACCTTAAATAATGCTTATAACTAAGTTCAAGAAGCCAGTCTTTCCAACTCTCTGATATTCTGAAAAGAGTAAAATCATGGAGATCGTAAAGTCCAGTGGTTGTTGCCAGGAGTTAGGAGGGAGGGTTGAACAGGTGGACCATAGAGCATTTGTAAGCCAGTGAACTGCTCCAGATGATACTACAGTAGTAGATACATACCGTTATAGATTTGTCAAAATCCATAGAATGTACAGCAAAGAGTGAGCCCTAATGTAAACCATGGACTTTGAGTAACGAATGTATATTAATGTAATAAATGTACCACTCTGGGACGTCGATAGAGGGTAAGGCTGTATGTTTGGGGACATCTGTACTGCTTGCTCAAATTTGCTGTGACCCTAAAGCTTCTCTAAAAAAAAAGTCTCTTTAAAAATTCCAACTATATGCTAACTATAAGAGACCTGCTTTAAAGGTTGCAAGCAAGAGGTTAAAAAGGATACACTATGCAAATAGGAAGCATAAAAAAGTCGCTGTGATTATATGAATGTCAAAGTAGACTTCAAGACCAGGGGGATTACCAGATATAAAGAGGGATATTTTTTATGTGTTAATGAGAAAGATGTGATAATCATAAATGCATATGTAACTGTTAACAGTTTCAAAATACATGAAGGAAAAACTGACAGAGCTAAAGGGAGAAATTAACATTGCTCTCTCAGTAACTGAGAATATCCAAAGGAACAAAATGCGGAATTCAAGTTTTGAACAACACTAGGATTCAACTTGAGCTCACTGACATTTTTTTTTAATTTTTTTTTTTTATTTATGATAGTCACACACAGAGAGAGAGAGAGAGAGAGGCAGAGACACAGGCAGAGGGAGAAGCAGGCCCCATGCACCGGGAGCCCGACGTGGGATTCGATCCCGGGTCTCCAGGATCGCGCCCTGGGCCAAAGGCAGGCGCCAAACCGCTGCGCCACCCAGGGATCCCTCACTGACATTTATAAAAGCCTATATACCCAACAACTGTAGGATACATATTCCCATCAAGTGCATATAGAACATTTACTAAGATGAACTACATGGTAGTCTCAAAAGATTTCAAAAGCTTGAAACCTTAGAGTATATTTTCCAAACACCACAGAGTTAAATTAGAAATAATTGGTAATAAAATACCCAGAAAAGCTCCAAACACTTAGAAACTATAACTTTTCTGAATAACCCACAGGGCAAAGAAGACATCAAAAGGAAAGACTTATTTATTTTTAGAGAAGGAGAGAGAGAATGCTGGGGGGGCGGGCGGCAGAGGGAGAGAAGAAAGTCTCAAGCAGACCCCACGGTGAGCGTAAAGCCCAGCGTAGGGCTTGATCTCGTGACCCTGAGATCATGACCTGAGCTAACACCAACAGTCAGATGCTTTACTGACTGCACCACCCAGGCTCCCTGCCAGTGATCTCTTTGATATCAGCTGCAGAAACATATTTTTGTTGGTATGTCTCCTAAGGCAAGAAAACAAAAGCAAAACCAAAATACTGCAACTACATCAAAATAAAAACCTTTTACACAGCAAAGGAAATCATCAACAAAATGAAAAGGCAACCTCCTCAATAGGAGAAGATATTTGCAAATGATATATCTGGAAAGGGGTTAACACCCAAAAAATATAAAGAACTTCCACAACCCAACACAAAAGAAACAATGTGATTAAAAAGGGAGCAGAGGACCTGAACAGATATTTTTCCAAAGAGGACACACACACAAGGCCAAGGGACATGCGGAAAGGTGCTCAACATCACTAATCATCAGGGAAATGCAAATCACAACTACAAGGAGATATTGCCATGTATGACTAGAGAACGACTAGAATCCAGAAAGAAAGAAGAGCTGGTGAGGATGTGAAGAAAAAGGAACCCTGTGCACTGCTGGTGGGAATGTAAACTGGTGCAGCCACTGCGGAAAACAGCATGGCTATTCTTAAAAAAATTAGAAATGCCACATGATC